ATACACACATACTAACCCTAACCTGAAGAGGTAGTAATACACACTATAAATACACACTAATCCTAACCTGAAGAGGTAGTAATACACACTATAAATACACACTAACACACACACTAACCCTAACCTGAAGAGGTAGTAATACACACATACTACACACAGTAATACACAATTCAAGTCAAGCCCATTTTTATTTATATGGCGCTGAATCATTACAGAAGTTATGTCGAGTTACTTTTCATGAAGAGCCGATCTAGACCTAAAATATACAGAGATCCCAACATTCAAGAAAAACTCCTCTTTAACCGGCAGAAACCTCTGAATCTACAGACATACTACATACTGACCCGGACTTGGTCTCAAAAGACACCTATACAGGTGGGACTCACCCTAAGAAGTAGGCCTTCTTGGTCTCACAGAAGTCGCTGACTCCGACGTGCGGCAGCATCTCTTTCTGCAGAACTTCTTTTGCATATTTGATTCTTCGTTCTTTGGTCACTCCGGGTTTCGCTCCTCTGGAACCAATAAAGTTTAACGCCACATTCTGCTCCTGGATCACAAACGCTTCGTCCAGAGACGGCTTCACCTGGAGGCACAGTGACATCACTTATGACATCACAGCCCAGTGGGCTTACAATGGGCTGTGATGTCACCGACCGTAAACTTACGCGGTTTTCCCCAAAACAGAATCTACACAGACTCAAGAGCACACATGGTTATAGAGTTTTCTTCTATTCTACAGTTGTATTATATAGGATATTTTTTATGATCTATAATATTTGTCTCATGCCCTTCTATGTGGATTAGTGTTTACTTATGTTAATTAGAATGAACTGGGACACATCTTTAACTTACTACGGTATTCATAATTATACGAACAATTCTGTGATTTAAGAACACGTGGTAAATTTTTCTTCAGAACAAAAAGAAAATGAGATAAATTAAAGATATAGGTGAATGCGACCCAATGACTCCAACTGTAGAGTCTGTTAATGATGAACTAACAATCACGACCTGATCAATAACTGATAATCAGACTGACCATCTCCATCATCTCTGGGTCGTCAAAGTCGTAGATGATGTGTTCCAGGATGTCTCTGTCCGACACGAAGCCCAGCGCCCGAAACACGATGATGATGGGAACTTCCTGTCTGATGTATGGCAGCGTGGACACGATCCTCTGACCGATGGCACTCTTCTTCACTCCCTGAGAGTGAGAAGCAATAAATAATCAATCACCCTTGTCTTCTTGTTGTGTATCAAGATGATAGCAATGGAGTTCATTAAATGTATCTAGGACTCACCTGTCCTCCTCTGGCCATCATGCTGACCCAGATGGTGCTGGTGGGACGGGACGAGTTCTCCAAACAGGACCGACACTCTCCTGTGTAGGCGTACTTTGAGTCCTTCTTGGCAAACACATACACCGTGTTGGTGGCCATCTTTTCCTGAGCAATCAGCACCTTAACACCAGGTTAACAAATCAGAGAAACCATCAACACACCAGTTAACAGATCAGAGAAACCATCAACACACCAGTTAACAGATCAGAGAAACCATCAGCACACCAGTTAACAGATCAGAGAAACCATCAACACACCAGTTAACAGATCAGAGAAACCATCAGCACACCAGTTAACAGATCAGAGAAACCATCAGCACACTAGTTAACAGATCAGAGAAACCATCAGCACACCAGTTAACAGATCAGAGCAACCATCAACACACCAGTTAACAGATCAGAGAAACCATCAACACACCAGTTAACAAATCAGAGAAACCATCAGCACACCAGTTAACAGATCAGAGCAACCATCAACACACCAGTTAACAGATCAGAGAAACCATCAACACACCAGTTCACAGATCAGAGCAACCATCAACACACCAGTTAACAGATTAGAGCAACCATCAAAATCATCAGAGATGCAGAAACATGATTTGTTACTTCTAGACTAGATTACTGCGATTCTTTATTAGCAGGCTGCTTGAATAAGTCTCTTAAATCTCTCCAGTTGATCCAGAATGCTGCAGCACTAAGAAAAGAGATTATATCTCTCCTGCGTTAGCTTCTCTGCGTTAGCTTCTCTGTAGACTCGACTACTGTAACGGTGTGTTTACAGCTCTCTGTAAAAAGTCAATCATAGTCAGTCAGAAAGCTGCAGCTGATTCAGAACGCTGCAGCTCGAGTCCTCACTAAGACCAAGAAAGTGGATCACATCACTCCAGTTCTGAGGTCTTTGCACTGGCTTCCTGTCCAACAAAGACTTGACTTTAAAATCCTGCTGCTGGTTTATAAAGCACTGAATGGTTTAGAGCCAAAATACATCTCTGATGTGCTGCTACCTCATGAACCATCCCGACCCCTTAGGTCGTCTGGGACCGGTCTACTTTCTGTTCCCAGAGTCAGAACTAAACATGGAGAAGCAGCGTTCAGTTGTTCTGCTCCACATATCTGGAACAAAGTCCAGAAAGCTGCAGGACACAATCCACTCCACTGTGTCTGGACTGCTGAGTCAACATCCTGGTGTGTTTTTGGCAATTACTGGAGACTTTAACCACACCACTCTGGATAAAGCCCTGCCGACATTACACCAGTATGTTGACTGCCCCACAAGGAACAATAAAGCTCTGGACCTACTGTATGTTAATGCTAAGGATGCATACAGTGCCACTGCCCTTCCCCCCCTTGGCAGGTTTGATCACGACCTGATCCCATTGACACCTAAGTATGTTCCTCTGGTGCAGAGGCTGCCTGTGACCACCAGGACTGTGAGGAGGTGGTCTCAGGAGGCTAATGACGCCCTGCAGGACTGCTTTGAGTCAACGGATTGGGATGTGCTGTGTGGACCACATAGGGAGGACCTCAACAGCATGACGAACTTTATCACAGAATACATTAAATTCTGTGAACAAACTACTATTCTACTGCAGGGACAGCAGAGCACTTTCTCCAACAGACTGATCCAGCTCCGCTGTCACAAGGACCGATACAGGAGAACATTCCTGCCCTCTGCAATAACACTTTATAACAAATCACCTCTGGCCAGATCATCCTCCACATAACTACTCACTGCTACACTGTTCTTTACTGCGGGTGGATTTTTGCACTACTGTTTGTTACCTAGTTAGTTAATTCAACACTATTCTATTTCATTGTATATATTGTGCATTTTTTAATACTTAATATTTTGGTTATACTGTTACATTGCTTACTTGTATGTCTTGCTGCTGTAACATACAAATTTCCCCCTGGAGATGAATAAAGCATCTATCTATCAATCAATCTTCCTGCGTCTCGGGGGTATTGGCGGGACCATTGGCGACCATCAGACAGCGCGCCCACAAGTTAGACGTATTTTTAATGCGTGTACTGTGGCGCTGGAAATTATGTCGTGCAAATATTCCACCAGTTCCTGTATCCACTATGTGGCGCTAGAGAACAGTGCGTGGTGATATCATACCTTCTCAGAGCCGTTGATAATGAAGTAACCTCCGGGGTCCAGCGGACACTCGTTGAGCTCACACAGGTCTCGGTCCGTCAGGCCGCTCAGCAGACAGTAGGTGGAGCGAAGCATGATGGGAATTTTACCAATGAAGGTCTTCTGGTGCTGAGTCTGCAGCTGGTCCTCACCCTCCTTTATGATCGTCTTTGTGATGTCAACATAGAGGGGGGCCGAGTACCTGGGGGGGATTTTACACAGAGAAGGGGAGACCAGGTGAGATTAAGGGAGACCAGGTGAGATTAAGGGAGACCAGGAGAGATTAAGGGAGACCAGGAGAGATTA